CTGTTTTTAATGTTCTTTTTTGTTTCTGCATTTTTTATTTATTATTTATTTTTTCCTACTTGCTTTGATTCTGTTTTATTTTCCCATATTTTAATCATGTAAAGCGCTTTGCAGTGTCTTTGTACTGAATTGTTCTATACAAATAAATTAGCCTTGCCTTGCCTTGCCTTCTGTCTTAACTGGTAAGTTCAAATGTAACTCCTTTCAAACTGTAAGGTTGTCCAGATTTTACATTATTCTGAGCCACTGATGCTTCAAACATTGATCAACAGCATATTGTGTGTGTAGTGCTTATAAAATTTTTATAAATTATGCTAAAAAAATACGGTTTTCTCTTTAAACGAAATGCGCCCTGATGCTCACGTCAAACACTAAAAAATAGGATCATGCATAATGATCAATGATCAATGACATCAAACCAATTAAGACCAATAGTGTCCTTACCAAAGTCGAGATCAAACCTATTGGGATCACCTATAAGGAGCAGAAACATTTAAGACCCTGTGAATGAAATTTGGCCCACTTATTTTGACCGTCCCTGCGGACCACGTGACTTGGTTCCTCCTTGTTTTAAAGAGAAGCGCTTTCTCCCCTGATGCAGTCAGATCCTCTGCGGAGCTGGGAGGCGTCATCTGAGCGGCTCAGTGCGCACATTCAGACTCCTGCAGCTTTAAGGCGCTGCGCGCTCAACCTGTGATTCCTGGAAGCGTCTCTGTGAGGCTGACCTGCATCCTGCAAACTGTCCCCGAGTCTCTGACCTGTTGATCAGGAATGGATCTGGACCATTGGAGAACATTTGGCGCCTATCTGTTACTGACCTGTGTGATAATCTGCAGTAATGTGCAGATTATCATCGGCGCGTCTCAGTACAACAACCGCTACGCAGGGTGAGTGTAATAAAAAAACACCTCTTTACCTTGTTGATATATTATTTATTATTTCATCTCTTTATTAATGCTCCTTTGGTTCAAATTCAGCAATACTAATGCGTAAGTGGATTTAAAATATTTAGAGACTTCTTTCCATTTTTTATGTTTTGTTATCCAACCCAAGGTAGCAGAATTTATTTTTTCACCTTTATTTTTGTAAATAAATATTGGTAAAGTGTTTTATTCATTTCTATTCAGTCTTTTCTCCCTTAAAAACCATAACTTAAATTCAGGGGGAAAAAAACACTTTGTAAACAAAACCTCATAAAGACTGTTCTAATTTAAAGTACCGTAAGATAATTTTTTTATAGATGAAAAAATATGAACTCAGTTTTAGTAAATATAATAATATAAAATAATGAAAAGCAAGACTGGGCAACAATGAACTAACTAAGACAGACCAGGAGCATCAGGTTTGATAATCTGTTAATAGAACTATTTATTTAAGTAGACATTATTAGAAGAGTGGTGAGAAGATATATATAGGAAACACAGAAGATGATCATCTGTAGGAAGAGACCTAAACCAAACATCGTCGTATACAATGTGGATAACTAAGACTTAACGTCAACCTGAACCCCATCTCCATGGTGATGTACGATGTTGGCAGCATCATGCTTTGGTGATGGCTCTTTAGCAGGGACCTGGAAGTTGGATAGAATTGATGTTCCTGAATACTGTGGAATCCTAGATAAAAGAGACTTTATGTCTATTTATGTACAGTACAACAGTCCACACCATAAAACCAGAACTGCAATTGGAATGGTTTGTAAGAAAGCATGATGTCACAATAAGATCATATTGATAATTTGTGGAAAAACTTGAAATGAAAGTCCGAAGAGGCTGTTAATAATCTGTTTGAGCTTGATTTCTTTGTAAAGTCAGAATTCTTCCAAAGGGGCAAACAACGCAATAAATATTTTGCAGTTTTACATAATTAACACACATATAAACTCGTTTTATGGTACGTTTTAAATGTTTTACATGCAAATTCAAAACTACGAGGCCTCAGTGCATGACGCCTATCCACGTTCTGGTGGCCTGCTGTCTATGCAGCCGTTGGCTCTTTCCTATTGGACCTGTTTTTGCTTATTTGTGATAACATTTAGTCACTTTGAGGATGGTAACCATTTAAGAAAGAAAACCTCCTGCGATTGGCTACTTTTCAGGATTTCCCGCCTCTTGAGACTGGACTATATTATTTTATTGTATATTGTAACCAAAGCAGCAGCATGGCATCTGCAGGCTAATTGTTGTATTCTTCCAGCAATTTAGCCGTCTAGACTAATTGCAGTAGGATAAGATGCTCACCACCACGTGTTGCATCATAGAGCCCCTCAGATCACTCATGATGATGAAACACGGAGCAGTTGAGGGGGTTGCTTGTGGTCTCAAAATTTCCAAAATTAAAGTCAGAAACAATAGGCTCTATTTGTGAGGCCATGAGTTATTTTAATTACCAAACAATAACATTCTATAAAAGCCCTAGTCTATGGTCTCAATGAAAGGGAAACTACTCAACATAGAGAATAAAGCAAAACAAAGCTTTTTGGGTGTGTGAAATCCTTAGGATAAGAGATCTTCAGCTGCAGATTATGGAGTAATCTGGGAAAAACTTAAAGAAAGCAGGGCAGAAGATATTTATGGTCTGTTTTCAGAGGAGCCTTTGATGTGCTTTAACAGAGCAGAGGGAATGCATGACAGCCTGAAAACTCCCACATTTTCACTGTCAGATGCAGCATATTTAGTGTTTCCAAAACAGGGTGTTCTGTTTTCAAATTAATAATAATTAAATATAAAAAAAAGCATCCTGACATTTGCAAACAGTGAAGTTTAAAGTTGCTATTTCAGCATAAACATCAGAGGTAAGCCCGAATGTGTTAAAGGATCCCATGGAGCATTCTGCTGAGAGCTTCAACAGATTGACAACATGACGACAGATTTATCTGAGAGATCCCTGTAGCTGTTTGTTGTAAAGGAAAAGGTCTTTGCCAGACAGGCCCACGCAGTCACAAACACAACCAGCTGTCTTACTTCAGAAAATGGAGGAAAGTGACAACACAAACAAAGTGGCAATCTAATGATTTAAAACATCAAAGTAGGAATGCATTTTAGTACCCAGCAAAAGTACTGCTCTACACTTCATCAAGCGAAAGTTAGAAAACCTGGTGTATTTTAATGTTTTGGTTTTTATGTCCTAGAAGATGCCTCAGTAACCATTACAATGACTCATCTTGAATCTCTCTGCTACATTACATTTATCTAAAGTCACAAAACATTTAGAGGTATTAGGAGAAAAGAGCAGGCTAGAATAAATGGAATACTTTAAATTTGTATAAAAAAGAAAACCAAAACTAACTCTTCAACTTTACATTATGCTTTTTTTTGTTGGTTTGTTGACAAACTTGTTTTTAACTCTAGAACATTTTATCTTGAGATGTATTCATTAGGGATGCACAATATAATCTGCCCCCTATCGGTATCGGCCTGTATCGGCCTTAAAACTGAATATCGGACATCGGCCACCCCACCGATATTAAACCCGATATTTGATGAGCTTCTGAGTTTCTAAAGTCTAGAAAAAAAAAAAATATTCTACTTCTTCTTCTTCCTCAAAAACTTCTTTTTTACAGACTTAAAAACTTCTAAAGACAAGGGAAAAATATTGATACATTAAAATATCACAATATCTTCATACGCTGATATATTTAAAAACACCATATCAATCTCTTTTACTAATGAAATATTGCTATATGTCATCGTTATGCTACAAGATCCCCCGAAAATTCACGAAATTTTGCCATATTTTTATATGTTGATATATGGACGCGGTATCAATCTATTTTACTAACAAAATCTCACAAGAATTTGCAAAATATCACGAGAGTTTGTAACAGAACGATGAAATTTCACGAGATTTTGAAAGTAAAATAGATCGATATCGCGTTTTTAAAAATCAATTTGATATCAGCATATGAAAATATATTTGAGTATATTATTTTTCAAAGTGTCAGAAATGGATAAAAAAAACTGCTATTTTCAATGACTACTTATTTTTGTCCAACTTTAATATCGGTATCGGTTATCGGCTACATGAGTTTTAAAATATCGGATATCGGCCAAAATCCCAATATCGTGCATCCCTAGTATTCATTTTGAGAGGCAACACAGAAACAAGTTCTATAGCGGTTTGTTTCCTCCAATATGTTTCTTTGCTTGGTTTGGGACAGAGCTGCTCACTTTCAAATAAGTTATTCCTTTAGTGGGTGGAAAGGGGGGGTGGTGGACTTCTGTGGGACACCTGGACCCTTTTGTCCCTCAGACCTCATAAATGGCCTGTTCCCATCTTTGTTTCATGAGGCCCAACTTCCTGTGTGAAAGACTGTTAAAAAAAAGTGCTTGAAAGAAGCTCAACCAATGAAAAGAAGATGCTCCAAAAGACAGGGAACACATTCACAACCTGAATGAGTTACTGCAGGCATTGCTTCAGGATAGTAAGCCTCTATGACATGAAATAATTCTGAACTTATCTTTAGAGTTCTTAAAGTCTACAGTTATGATCATTTGTTTGAAAAAATATTAGAAGTGGTCAATATTTTAGACATACATTTTCATGCAATCTTTCTTTTTTTAAGTTTAAAAGTATGTACCATGTGTTTCATGAACAAAAATAAATGTTCGTAACTTTAGTTGCTATATTTTAGTATAACTGTTTTAATATCAAATGAGCTTCCAGGTCCCTCCATCACTCCAGGTCAAGTTGTGGCCCAGATCCTGAATCCTAATGGCAAGACAGCCCAGTCTGGAGTTGGGCCCCCTTCTGTCTCCAGCTTTCATAAGCCTGCTGTCCGGGAAAATAATACTAACAAATCTTTAGTGACACCAATTTACTTAGATTAGAGAGATCCTCTGTAGCGCCGCAGCATTTGATTGCTATGGTAATTGATTGATCTATTGATTATTTGTTTATTACTCGATCAATTTTAAAAGAAATTTATTTAAGTAAGTTAACAGTTTAAAGAAACAATGCAATTTAAATGAAAACACGACATCAAAACACACACATTGGGTATTATTTTACTAATCGATTAATCATAATTATCTGATTAATCATTTCACCTATATTCCTCTGCTTTATTGAATTGGTAAATAGGCAGATTTTACATGGGAATGCTTTGTGCTGTATAAAAAAAAGGAGGAGTAAAAAAGTACAAATATTACATCTATTTCAGTGAAACATATTTTTTATAATCTAAGTCCCGTAAATTTCAGGAATAAAAAGATAGTAGAGAATTTGAGTTTCCAGATTTAATATATCAATCAAATCAAAAAGCTTTGTTTATTTTATTATTATTATTATTATTTATTATATTTATCATTTAAATCTTCCAGTTACTGACAGACAAATAATACTCTTCTATATATATATATATATNTATATATATATATATATAAATATATATATTTTACAGCATTTTTGTTCTCTATAATTTTTTTTAATGTGAGTTTTAAAATAAATGATTCTGGATATTCAGCTTGGTTCAGTTTAGCATTTAAATTTCTCTTACATTTTTGTGAGTGGAAGTTGTTACTGATTGCAATCCTCAATTTAATAGATTTAAATGAGTCATTTCTCTTTTGTAGATATTAAATAATCTGGGGTTTTCTAACTACCCCACAAAGGGATGGATAGTTTGTAGGGTAGTTAGAAAACCCCAGATTATTTATCACAATTACCAAATCAGAAAGCAGCTACAGCATTGCAGCGGTTCATGAATTGCAAAAAAGAAACGGATAAAAAAATCTGAGCAGGTGATTGCTTTGTATTCAAATGTGCAAAATCTCATAAAAAAGACAGAAACATCTGAGAAATAGAGTTTTTATTTTATTTTTAAATAGAAATGTCAAAGACAACATGTAACATGACATGTAACTAACGTTTGTGATTAGAACCCAATGAAAAAAATCAAGTGATAATCTAAAAATAGACAAAATAAATACATATTTTGTCTCATTTAGTTACTCATTTTTTTTTCTCAGGAAAGTGTATGAATGAAGCTGCTGCTACTGTATCTGCTGGCTGCAGGCGCTACCTATACAGACTGGTAACATAATCCTATAATGATGCCTGAAACAGGTTATTTAGCTGAGGGAGTTTTGCCCTTTTCCATAGGACTCTGAAAGGGGAAAGCTCCTGTTTCACCGTCTGACTTCTTTATCATTAGTGTCACCTTCAACCGACAAGAAATGTGAATTCATGACTCGACTCTGTAGCCCTGGTGTTTTTACAACATCCACTATGTGAACGTGTGGAAATGGAAGGAAATGTTGTAAAAACACCTTTCAGAGTGTGCTGATTGCCTCTGTAACCTGAACCGTAGGGGGCTTGTGTTGTTTCCACAGCGACCAAGTCTTCAGGATTACCCCAAGTAACAACGCAGAGGTACAAGCCCTAAAGAAAATCCTGGGACAGATTAAGGTTGGTTTTGTTTAATGCATTTCCCTAAAAACCTTAAACATACATCCTTTTCTCCCACTGTGTTAGCAGGTATTAAATTATGTTGATAAATTCAGAGGAGCATGACATTCTGCGAAAAATCTCCTCAAATAGTGGAAAGAGGCAGTCAGTATTCCTTTCAGTAAGAAGCTCAGACAGAAATAAAGGGGTGGGTTTTCATTTTTTTTTTTTTTTAAGTGGATGACTGCTTAGATGTTTAAACTCTGTGAACATGTGTTTCAAAGACACTGAAATTAGGCGGGAACCTACACAGGAGACAAAGGCCTCCCCTCTTCTCCAGAGCTCATTTGGAAGCAATTATCCATCCAAGTCAGCAACCGCGACCCTTTTTCCCCCAATGTCTCAGTTGGAAAACATACTTTGGCGTAGAGGGTATGAGGAGGATAGAGAGGTGCTCATTCAAAAAAAAAAACTAATACTATGATTGATGGTTTAAATTATAATTTACAAATGCTGATTTTTTTTGTATTTTTTAAGTTATTGTGTAGATATTTTTGTTGTAGTTGCATGAAAACACTGAGGTTTATTAATGTATTTAAATCAAACCATCAACTTAATATGATGGAAGAAAAAGTAAACATCTTTTTAAAACATTTAGGTAAACCTGAGTAGTGGCCTAAAGGCTAATTTCCTCTAAAATGAATGGTATTTTAATTTTTTTTATTTTACTTCTCTATATTCATGTGAATGTAGTTGAAACTTTAATTGGAATTTGTATGACATCGATCAGAAAATAGATAATCTCATTTTATTTGAAGAATTGTGAAAGCCAAGAGCACGTTATTCAAATAAGGTAGATTTGCACTGATTTCCAGAGATCTAAGAAAGCAGATACTAAGCAAAGGTTTGTGTTAAGTAAATGTAATTAAACTGAATGAAAAAGACAATCATCACTTCCCATATTTATCCTTCCTCTAATATATAAATGTCTAAGTTGCTCTGTTAATTGATCAGTTTTTTTGCAATGTTAAAAAGAATTACAGTTTTATAACTTTTACTGCTGATGTAAGCAGAAATCAGCAAAACTCAATAAAAACTATTTTGGGGTAAAACAGATCCTTGTATTGCTGTGGATTTTGCTGTCTATAGAGTAAAGTACCACATTCAAGCTGATGATTTATTAAAGTCTGTGGTTTTTCTGTCATTTATTGCTCCTATATTCAACCAAAAACAAAAATTGAACTAATGGCATTTTCTCACACTGCAAAAACGTGCTACTTAAAATAAGTAATAAACTCCTAAATATGAGAAAATTTTCTTGTTTTGAGCAAAAACTGGAGTAAATGGGAATAAGTTGCTCAGCTATAGTTCTTAAGGCTCATTATACATTTTTTTAAACTAAAGTTGTTCAGTCTTATTCTTAAAATGGAAAAAAAAAAGTATTTTATTTTTATTCTGGAATTTTAAACAAAGCATCGTCATACAATGTAGATGGTAAATAAAGCTCAAGATTAGTTGAAGCGCCTTATTGAGAAATGATTAGACATATTTTCCGGCAGTGAGCTTAATTTTTCTGGTAAAACTTAAAATAATATGTAATGCAAGACAAAAAAAGGGAATGCATTTCCATTAAAAAACATATTACTTAAAAAAAAAAATATATTTTGCAGTGTATTTGCATAACACATAAAATCCATCATCCACATAGAGCTCAGAAAGCATCAAAGAGATCTTAGTTAGGGGCTCTCTTTCATGGAGGAGGACCAAGCTTAAAGTACAGGAGTTGTTTCTCTTTATGATTTGCTCATTATCAAACATTCTGTCACATTTGATTGGAATAAATTCTGTGGAAACCTAAATTATTTTTTTCTTTTTCCTTTAAAGGGGTGGAAAAACCGAAACATACATATACAATGAAATTATCTTAATAAATTAATGTTTATTTTCCTCCTAAAAAGTTTTTTTTTTTTTTATTTTACTTTTCCTAGGTTAGATGTTAAAAATTTTTGATTGAACTTGTTTTTTTTTTAAATTCTAAATCCTAAAGAACAACTATTCTAAAAGGGCTGTATAAACCTTTTATTTTTCATCTACTCTGAGTGAGTAAAAATCCAAACAGGAAGCACTACAGCACAAACTAAGAACAAACAGGACTCGCTAAATGCTTCTAATAAGCAGGGAAGGGTTTCGAAGGGAAGCCGCTGGTCAGAACCGAGTTATTATATTTGGAAGAACTGTGAGCATGGAACTGGCTGAAGCTCCTACAAGAACAACACCAGCAGCAGCTACTGTTTGTACAGCTGTGGACGTGTGTTCTTAAGAGCTTAGGCACACTGCTGTGCTTCCAGTGTCCTAGACTTTATGTTGTCAGCTTCAGGCTGCACACCAGATCAGAGGCTGTGTGCTACTGAATGCAGGATCCTCGGGATTCAACCCATCAGTAACTGAACAAGACATATTTAAATTGTAATCATGTTTAATCTTTGCTTAGCTATTTATTTACTCAAAAAATAGTAAATTAAAAAGAACCCAGCCTTGACTCTGCTAATGTCTTTGGTTAAGTGTTCCTAAGCAGCTTTTCCTAAAATAGTTTCAGATGTATACACTGACCCACCAGAATAATTTATTTGGCAAGTGTTTTATACAAGAATTTATCTTTTGTGAATTTATCTACAATGTGGGCATGTAAAGCTTGACATTTGGGGTAGATTTAGTATATGTAACTACAACAAAAAGCTGTTGTGAAAGAATAGATGATGAGAAACAGAAACAAAATATAGTTAACTGTTTATATCTCAAGTGAATCCAAACTTACAAATCTGACTTGCAAGCTTTTTAATTGAACTTTTGTTTTATTGTGCATCTAAATATTTCATTGCAAATTACTGTATTGCGTATGACAGAAATGAGTCATTAGCCATTATGAAAAGGTTGTGTTGAGGAGAGCTTTGTAGCGTCTCTTTCTTCTTTTTATCAATATTTAGACCAGGATGGAATTGACTGAAACACATTTTGCAATATGCAGAGGCATACAATTACGTTAGCTAGTATATCTTGGTTTCCCTTTTCAACTTTCAAAAACCAAAAGGAGGTGTATTTTATACAACATATGTATAAAGCATTTTTTTTTAAATATAACAAACTTAAATTCAGTTCAACTCATTTTATTTATATAGTGCCAATTCATAACACATTTAATCTCAAACTACTTTACAGAGATAATTCAACCAGATCATGCTGTCAGATTTGTTCAAAAGTTTTCTATCGAAGGAAAACCAGTTGATTACATTCATTGGACGGTCATCTGCCGACGCCGACTGGGGTTCAAGGAAACGGAACCAGACATACAGAAAGAAGCATAGATGCAAAAGGCTACGGTCAACCAGCTCCACAGGTGGCCCTGCCCAGGAAAGACACTGCCAGTCACATAAGCCCGCTCCCATGTCAGAAGATGAAAGAGAGCACATACAGTTAGTCACAGTAGCACAGCTGATATCTCTCTCCGGGATGGTGTGACAACGAAACAGGAACAGACCAGATGAAGCTGCTATGAATGAGAAAAACTGAGAGAGTATAACGTTAGAGACTGACATAAAAAATACTGCAGAATGGGAGAATGGAGATAGAATAAAGTAGAATAATGAAAAGGGGACACTATGTCCTCCAGCAGTCTAAGCCTATAGTAGCATAACTATAGATAGAGGTTAGGATAGCCTGTGCCACTCTAACACTGGCTAACTACTTTTAGAAATTCTAGGAACTACTAGTAAACCTGTAGATTGAGAGCAAAGTGCTCTGTTAGGAACATAAAGAACAATCATATCTCTCACATAAAATGGAGCTTGGCCATTTAAGGCTTTATATGTTAGAAGGAGGATTTTAAATTCTATTCTGGATTTAACAGGAAGCCAATGAAGAGAAGCCAGGATATGAGAGATATGATCTCTATTAGGTTTCTGTTTCAGTTATGTTTTTCTTTTGCTCCTTGATTTCTAGTGTTTAGTTTTCTTTTCACCATGTTTCTTTATCCTAGTTTTTTGATTATTATTTTGTTGTTGTTTTCTTATTAGTTTCTGTCTTCCAGGTTTTCCATTTGTTGTCCTCTGCTGCCCTCTTGTGTCCTCTTTCTCTTGCTCTGTTTTCTGTTCAGCCCTCACCTGTTTTCAATTCCCTCGTTAGCCCTCTCCCTGTCTCTGTCCCCTTTAAAAGCCCCTCCTCTTCAGTTCCTGTTTGCTGGATCCTCGTCTTACATCTTGTCCAACGTCTGTCTGCCTACCTCGTCTCTCCCTGGCTCCTTGAGTTTTGGTTTACGCCTGATGTCCCCTTGGTTCTGGTTCATTTGTTATTTTGTTGGACTTTTTGATTCCTGCCTCAGTTTCTGTGAAGCTAATTAAACCCACTTAAATTCACCGCTGCCTACTTGTTTCTGCATTTGGGTCCTCCAAGCCAACACCGTTCTCTGACAATCTCTCTTTCTAGTTTTGAGAAAATCTCTGGCTGGTACGTTTTGGATCAGCTGGAGGCTTAAGTTAGTTGCTAGTCAATGCTTATCATTCATTAAAAAGCTACAATCAAAACAATACTCTAAAGTATATAAACTGCATGCAAGTACTTTGGCGCATAAGAAGCCTAAGCATTGACATTAACTTTTTTTGTGACTACAATTAGATAAAAATAATTTCAGTAATTCTTGCCATCGCTTAAGGAAAGTAGGATAAAATTTCAATTTGACTTAATTAATTAATATACATTTTTTCTAAGAAATAAGTAATGAAAGTTTTAAATTAATCCAATTATTTCTGTTGGACCTGTGCAGTTATTTTTAAAGAAAACTGAAGAACCCAGAGAGAACCAAAGCATCCAAAGAGGGAACATGAAAACTTAAACAGCAAGGCACAACCTGAATTGGATACAGGACCTTTATTTATATATTTATTTTTTGCTAGGAGGGAACAAAGCTAACGGCCATGCAGCTTGTGTAACGATATGTTACTATTTATATAAAAGCCTCTTTGTTTGAC